CGCCTCCCAGCTTCTCACTGGCAGGGCATGAGAAGCTGAAAAGTCCTTGACTAGTGTAAGCACTACTTAGCAACAACTAAAACATCAGTGTCTTATCAACGCTATTCTCACACTAAATCCAAAACACAGCACTATATCAGCTACTAGGAAGAAAATCAACTCTATCCCAGCCGAAACCAGGACAAGTTCATACCACTGTAAGTCACATCTGTTTGATGACCTGATTGTTGGCATATAAGGAGCAAACAGGCAGCTCCATCATTAAAAATCAAGACACAATGATGGCGCTGTTCTCATCAGTCCTTATAAAAAAATTATTCCTGCACTCTCCTGTGCTAAGATGCCTCCAAACAATGACTGAAGCACATTCTTTAGGCAACAGGAAAAGCCTGCACTATTTGGACAGCTAATCAACAAAGTGTATTATCTATAGTTACTAGTTGGCTCCCAATTAATTGGAAGCAGTTTGTCCAGTTTGCAGGTTACATTGCAGAGAGGAAAGACAATGCAGCTAGCTTTGCAAGAAGCTGAGCAGGCTCTGGAAGGGTTCTCCACCTGGGCACATGATCGTATGATGATGGCCTGGACTGCTTCTGTGGCCAATTTTGATTCAACAGAACAGGAACATCGTCTAACAGATTCCCACAGTTGGAAAGGGCAAGGAAGGGGCAGGTTTTGGGCTTCCAGATTAGCACGAGCTACACTGCATCTTGGTCAGGTTACATGAAGAGTCACTTAAGATGCCCGCACAGTGTTGGTAAAAATGCTGAGATTGTGCAAATACAAGTACTTCTGCTTCCACTAGCCCACACACAACTAAGAGATTACTTTTCACCAATTTGACATTGCTTAATTTCAGATGTTATTTCCATAAACAGGTATTTCAGCACTGTCACAATGATGACGCAATTCAAAAAAAAAAAAAAAAAGGCACTTTTCCATTCCAAATTTTCTCTAGTTTCTGGGGAAAAAAAAACATAGGGGGAAATTAGCAAATTGAACAACGCGACACTACTACAGTAAAAGGACAAGTAGCAATTTTTTCCCCACAATCAGAACAGAAAAAACACCATTTGTAGACTTGAACTGCAATGGGACAGAATTACAACAATAATTCTCTAAAAATATCCCAGAGTGCATATTAAAATATATAGAACTATGTGAAGTGGACACTAGATTTTTAACCCAGAGATAACATTTACCAATGTGAAATTCACCAACAAAAGTAAGAACATAAATAGCTAACAACACCAGAACCAAAAACTAGAAGTGAAAGCTTTGGGTTTTATTAACAGGACTGCAAGGAGAACTACCAATTTGTACAAAATTAGAACAGAATCAAAATCAAAAAAAAAGCAAAAGAATTGGATTTCATGCATTTCCATGGAATTAAAAAGCCTGTTTTCATGACTTTAAAAAAAAACAGTGTAGAGAAAAAGGGCTCAAACCACAAGCCAGCTTACATGCGAACCAAGCACACAGAATGACAGCTTGCCTAGAAGTCACAAAAAACAATTTGCTTATTTTCAGGTTTGATACTGTTGTTCTCGCTTACCTCAGTGAGCTCCTTTAGTGTATCTCTTGATGACTTCTGATTGGCTTTGTCGTCTTTCTTTTGAGATAACAAAGGCATCAGGCTTGGTGGTAAGGGAACACCAGACTTAGCACACATGGCAGCTGCATTAGCTTTGGCTATTTCAAGTAGTTGGGCCTTGTCTAAAAAATTTTTTTTAAGAAAAATTATTATTTTTACAGATTCTTGCTTTAATAATAAGACTTTACTTATATTATTTTGTATTTTATTTATGAAATTCATAAAATTT